ATAAAACAAGGTAAGCACTTCAGCTTTGAAGTGAATGTCAAATGTCAAACATTTATATTACTATTGTACAATTACAATTATTACAATACAAATGAATATATTTGGCACACACAAAATGAGATGACAGAGAGACTTTCTCATTCACCATTTAATTAACTATGAAGAAGTAACTGACTGACTAAATGATGCATCATTCTGCCTAACATCTTTTGTAAGTCATATGGATATGAAACAAAATAATTAATAAAAAATTATTTTATTCACAACATTACGTCTCTTAAAACACCATATAGTGTAATAGTAATCAAAACAGTCCTGAGCTAGATTAAGCTTAAATCTATGCAAACCAAACTTTACCATCACTTTAATGTAATGATTTTTTATTTATTTTTGCATTCACTAATAAAAAGTTTAATAAACTTAAAAAAAAAAAATAATTAGCTAGCTCCACACTGAACAGCTGTTTTATAGCAGAAAATCAAGTTGTAATTCTAACTGAAAGCAACACTGACACTGTTTTTTCTTGTTTAATACTGTAAAGCGAAGTGCTTTAAAGCGGGGGTACAATGCTGTTTCATGCATTCAGAGTTGTTTACACTGTTAAAGAGTTGGATTCTCATGCTAAACATGGCCAAAGTAAAAAAAAAAAACGATTTGGACGTATAACACGTATTTCTGTGCCAAATACACACTTCTGGGTTTCTTACAAGTGTTTTTCGATCGTGGCTCTTCATGACGTAATGAAGGGTGGAACTCCTTATATGGGCATTTCTCCCGGAAGAGCGCACCCGCGCACACATCGACCAGAGCGAGGCAAAGAGCGCGCCCATCAACGCGCTTCATTCGGCAGTGCTGCACAGTACTCGCTTGGAAAGAATGTCTCTAAAGAGGTGTGTTTTTGGTTGTAAGGGAAGGTTAACCTTGTTCAGCTTCCCGAAGAATCCAGCGTTACGTAAACAGCAGATACAGTTTGTTTTCCGGGGCAGCAACGGAGTTTCGCAAGTGTTTGTTGACGAATGTTTTATAAACAAGGCCCAGTTCGGCGCTGGATTTACACATCGTTTGATACTGAAAGATGTAGCGGTTCCAGCTATAAAAGATCCCAGTCATGATTCAGAACTGCAGATGGTAAGTGAAACGGCATCAAATGTCTGTGTTTCGTTGGCAATCGGGCAAGTGCTCGTCCCTCTTTAGCTCCGCCCACGACACGCCTCCAGGAGTTCGGCTGTTTTCGGAGAGAATCGTAAAGCTGTATCTTTCTTTTATAAATATGATAAAACTAAAGACTTTTTGGAGATATGAAGGATGCAGTACTACTCTATAGGTACTCAATATTAATATGAGATTTGGTGAAATTGTGTGTGTTAGGTCCCCTTTAAATCAATTTATTGTATAAAGAGTTATATGAAGATCAGATGCTTTCTTAATTGCTGTTTTCTCACCGCTGTCATTTTTTGCTGTTTATTTCGTTATTGAGAGGAAAGCACGCAACACATATTTCCATATTCATCTAAACTCTGCTCTCAGCAGCGTCTAGTTCAGCTGCGCTGTGTGTCTTCTCTTGAATTTCATCTGGGAAAGCTGAATTATAGTCCTGCGCTACAGCGCCACACTGGTCAAATCGCGTTATTGCAGGCTCTTAACATTAGATCATATGAGATCAAATGACTATTCAACAACAAAAATGTGTCTCAATTTTATTGTCGACGCTGTCGATAATATCGACTAATCGTTTCCAGTGGTGGACGAAGTACACAAATCAAACGTTGTCCAACTCATAAGCGCTGCCATTTCTGTTGCATTTGAGAAACATCAAACGTCAAACGAAACGAAAGCGAAACTAAACCGCGCTACGTTTCAGCTACGCAGCACCACGGACCGTTTATCAGCTCACACCACGACGCAAACAAACTTGTCCGAGCTCAGAACAGCTTTACTCGGGAGCCAAAGTTGATTTTGCGACACTGTTACTGCACAGATGCAACAGTGCTGCGAGATACAGTGAGAAGCGTTTGAATTCGCCGCACAATGATAAGGTTGCTGCGAAATCTAGTG